TTAAGATAGTCCTCGAAATCACCACACTTACTAAAAACTTCACCGTCTTATGACTTTACGAGTACTCTACCTAACGTGTAAGTACTGGTTAACTCAATCAAAGTTTAAAAGCTAACAATGGAAAGAATTCTTAGTATGAGTTGTATTTAACGTAACTGAATAACAGATTTAATAAATAAAGTGACTGTACAACTTATCTGCAGACGTTGCAGGAGGTAGGCTCGGAGAGTGTGCAAAAAGAGAGCACAACAAGAGAGCGAACCAATGAACGTACGGAAGACTCCCAACTCAAAAGATAAAAAGTCTATCACCATGGGTGAGCGAGTTTAAACAAAAGTTCAAAGGTACAATGTGCACTACACATCTCTCGATTTACACGAAGTGATACCGGGCCTTTATTGTGCAATAAGTGCTACAAGTATATATATTAGTTTTAAGTACACTGTCCTTAGTAGCGCTTAAGCTATACTCTAGGTAATTGAAAACTGAATCAGCGCGGGCGGAAATTTAATTGCATCTGTAGATGGCAGCATCTAAAGGTGCGAATACGTAAAACCGTCAAAACTGGGAAGATTCAGTAAGTTCGCCGTGATTTTATGCCCGTTTAAAGATGTTATACCAACTTTGGTCCTCAGAATCTCGCGAACAACTTTAAAAGTGCTGTGTAACGCATTTGACCGACGTCAGTATATCAAGTTAGACTACTTGTAGCTTGAGGGCACCATACTAGGCAGCTGATAGTTAGAGGTATGATAATGGACGCATTAAATCTATTGTATCAAGGTGTTTCCTTATAAATATGGTGTGGCTTCAGCCACGTCACACAGATATCTCATGTGCGTCGGTGGCACAGTGGTTAGGACTCTCGCCGACCATGCACATGGTCCGGGGTTCGAGCCCACGCCGGCGCACACCTGATATCTATGGTCGGCCTGCAAAATTTGGGCTACCGATATCCATGATGAGAATTCCATACTTGTACCAAAAGTACAGTGTGGAAGCAAGCTGTAAATCAAAAATAAAAAAAATAAAATATTTTCATCAATATGTACATACTGTATGATTATTACACTTACGTTCAGCTGCAGCTTATTTCCTGGAATATACAAGTGTAGCTCAAAGAAGAGGTCAAGTGTTTAAAGTAGCCTTGTTAGCCAATTAACTGAATTGTCCCGATAGAATTCAGAACTAATATGTAAATTTTGTATATGTATGACATCTACTTGCTGGTGTTATTATGGATACCAGTGAATGATCAAGATTGTGTTGTCATAAATTCAAGCATTTCTTCTGGGGTGCGTATAACTGAATCTCAGTAGTTTCGCAGCGTAATTTAGTAATGACTCACTTTATTTTAAATAATTATTATACAGAATGCAGTTTTCAGAGTATTTATAGATATGTGCATATACATAAAATTTAAAATAGTAATAATATTTGTGGTGGAACCACCTTTGTTAGAATGTTAGTGGAAACGTAATGAAATATTAGTAGACTGTCATGGATATTACGTTTAATAATAATCTTTGCTTGTACTGATTTATAAAGTTCATAAGTTCTTTCCTGACACTTGACTCTTCATTTAAAACCCGTGTTCTATTATAGGATTTTTATATTTAGTTGTATGAGTGTAAATTCTTACGAAGTTTTTTCTGGTTTTACCCGAAGAGATACAAGGAGAAAGTTGAGAACAAAGTGAATTTTCAGCATCAAACAAGATAACTAGCCACATACTTGCAAGAATCGAAGTGCATGTTGACAATAATGTCAGTTAGATAAAGAATATATGAATCAACAAGTTGTAAGAAAAGAGGTTGAGTTATGCCAGAAGTTCTCAACTTCGTTATGTAATAAGTCAAGACTTCCAGGCTGGGGTCCTCGGGACGGTAAAACTCTATGGTTGGAAACAATTGGTGACATGGCTCAAAATCGTTCTCAGTGGCTCAGATGCATCCACTCCTTGTGACTTATGATCTCCAATGAAACTGTTTTGTTTTTCTTTATTACTCCTTTGTCTCACACCTCTGCTCACTGTTTCTATTATTCATTTCTTGTACTTTCCTCTCTTGCTTCGCGTGCTACACGAAGTGTGGCGACTTGAACTGGTGCACATATGTGCAAAGTTCTGTGTCGAAAACAGACAGAATAAGTCAAACGTAAGATTTCCTTACAAATAAACAGGATATAAGGCTACCATGAAAGATTCGAAGAGAAACTAATACCTAGATAAGAGATGTTCGATTTACTCCCTGTCACAGTGGCGTCATTATTACGGGAATCATGCGACTGAATCAGTCCATCTAAGTCTTGTCCGCATCTGAAACTAAAATCAACAATATGTTGGTACAGAATCAGTGTTATACGTTATTTTGAGGTCTTTCGGTGTTGCGCCATTCACAAAATTCTCTTTAATCTGTCGAGTTATATGTGTATTAATAATAACGAATGACAATATGAAACTATATTGTTCTTCGTTATTACTATTCCTTTTGTCTCACAACTCTGTTTACTGTCTCTGTTATGCATTTCTTCTACCTTCTTCTCTTGCTTTGTGTGCTACATGGACTGTGGCGACTTGAACTGCTGCACATCGGTGCGAAGTTCTATGTCGAAAACAGAGTTATATGTGTGCGGTCGCACTTACCGACTTCGATAAGTTAACTGACTACAAAACGTCCATGTAACGAGGTCAAGATAACTTTCTTCCCTGCGTAGCTTAGTTCTGGCTTTTATTTGAGTAAAACCTAGGCACTGGCTCATTCCATATTTTCTGAAGCAGTAATGCATCGTAAGTGGAGATTCTTAGTTATTTGCAATTATTTTTGGTTTGACTGCAAACAAATTGTTGTTCAGAACATAATGCATCATTCCACAAATTACTGATATAGGCTTTACCGATGCTCAGACATGTTATTTATGCCAGTCATTGGCAAACTGAAGCAGTTTATAACAATGCAATTTTCAATGCATTGTGTCAGATGGAGTTGTTAGTGTCGATTGCAATAATGCGTTTGCATTTGAATTTCCTTCGTTCTAAGCTTCAGGGTTATAGGCTTGATTACCCTTTGGATTTATTTGTCTTCTGGATTTGTATAACTCATGTATTCTTGCATTCTTCTTTGTTTCCATTGTGTGCCCGTATTTTTCGTTGTGAAGTAGTGCCACTAGTTTTCTAGCTCAGTATTGGTAGATTCCATATTAATAATATCCCCCCATCTTGTTGATGTTCCATGAATGTCGTCGAATGTCCACTCAACTGATTATTCAACTTTATGCCTGCAACTACCGGTGACTGGAAGCTCCTATGCTGTCACTTATTTGTAAGGTCTGTAATTACTTGGAAAAGGAGAGATGATTAATTCACAGATCATATTTATGGTATCTCTGTAAATAAGTAGTATTAATCAACTACTATTTTCCCTGATTGAAACTGATAAAGAGCTCTTATGATCAAAAGAAAACTAACAGTAATGCTTTAGTTATCATCGTATATTTCAGTGAAACAGATATCAGAGAGACTGCAGTCTTCCAATAAGCACACGAAACTGAACTAAGCCGGTTCACTTTTATGTAGCCATCTGAAATGTGTATTTCTGATAAAAAGTACATCAGTGATAGTATCGTGTACTTAATTCACCAAGTTACATCGGTGACTTCTTGTAAAATGATGCATATAACTCTAAAAGACTATTTTAGAAAAAAGCAAACTGTTGGGAAAATGGGCTATTAGTGAGACAAAACATATATAACAATCAAAACAAGATTTTGAGCGAACAATTGTTTTCGATAACTTCTTTTTCAGCCTCTACAGTTATAAATACATGAATAATAGAGTACATATAGCCAATAAAGGCAAATGAAAATAATATCAGAAACTGTGTTGGGGTGCATGTGTAAGTTGAGATGATAGCCCATTAGTTAGCATAGTCAATTTGATGTGTATAGGGTGTTTAGTCACACTGCATCACATTTTTCTGACTAAACACCCTATACACATTAAATTGACTATGCTAACTAATGGACTATCATCTCAACTTACACATGCACCCCAACACAGTTTCTGATATTATTTTCATTTGCCTTTATTGGCTATATGTACTCTATTATTCATGTATTTATAACTGTAGAGGCTGAAAAAGAAGTTATCGAAAACAATTGTTCGCTCAAAATCTTGTTTTGGTTTGAATATGGGGATTTTCCATTTACTGATATATAACAAATGTGTGTAGTGAAGCTATTGTGACAATTTTGAGTCTTCCTGTTCCTTTAAGCAGATAAACCAAATAAAGTGTAACACATGCAACGAATGGCAATAAAGCAGGATGTAATGCGTTCATCGTATATCAGTAATACTCAGATATATATGCCACATAGTGTTATGTGTACTATGGAGATATGTGACTAATAAGTAAACTGCAATGAAATGAAAAGAGAAAATGTTTGACGGGTCAAGTTCAGATAGATGCAAAAAGAAAGGTATTAGAGGTTGCAGAATTACAATTTTAATGATTGCGGTTCAGGCACGTCACTAAAATAAACAATTAGTAGTAGATTTATTTTTATACTAAATTCTCTGAGGCTTATGTACAGTATGAGATTAAATGTTAACTATATTTAACATGCCTTCGCCGTCCCACTCAGTGCTTGCTCATAGCCTCTTAAACTGACTTCACCTTTTTGTGTAGCTCTTACAATGATTTCTTTCTCCTGCAAACATAAAGTTGTGAGTATGATACCACAGTAGATTGTCCATTTTTAAGGCAACTGCTACTCCATGCTTCCCATAGTGCTAAACTATCACTGTTGTAGTACTTATTTCATAAGAATATAAACACTAGAGATTCATGTTTGATAAATATTGTGTAAAGCTTATGCTTATGTTATTGACTACATTTTTGTAGATTGCTTTCGATTTCCAGTTGAGTAATTTAATATTCGCTTTATTTCAGTCATTTCCCATTCTATGTGAAACATGTTTGGGGCCAAGCCCCTTTGTCAGAATGATGAAAGAAAAATATGGGAAGGAATGTAAAATTTGTAATCGTCCGTTTACTGTATTTCGCTGGTGCCCCGGCCCAAAAGCCAGATTCAAGAAAACTGAAGTTTGCCAGAGCTGTGCGAAGATTAAAAATGTGTGTCAAACATGTCTATTTGATCTCGAATATGGCCTTCCTGTCGAAGTTCGTGACAAAGCGCTTCGTCTGTCACAGCAACTGCCTCAGAATGATGTTAACCGAGAATATTTCCACCAACAAATTGAACAAAATGCCGAAATGGAAGGTGATATAACGGCTCCATATGGAGGACATCAATTGATAGGAAAAACTCTGTCTAACACAGCTGCAGCCAGTAGCTCTAGTGGTGGTGGGGGTACAGACTTACTACTAAAGTTAGCTCGTACCGCCCCGTATTATCGTAGAAATCGTCCGCATATATGATCTTTCTGGGTAAAAGGTGAATGTAGAAGAGGTGAGGAGTGTCCTTATCGGCATGAAAAGCCTACGGATCCTGATGATCCACTTTCTGAACAAAACCTGAAAGATCGTTACTACGGTCATGATGACCCAGTTGCAGCCAAATTACTGTCGAAATATGACTCAATGCCTAAGCTTACACCTCCAGAGGACCGTACAATAACTACTTTGTATATTGGAGGTATTCCTGAAGGCATGACGGAAAAGGATCTACGTGATCACTTTTATCAATTTGGTGAATTACGTTCTGTCAATCTTCACGCCAAACAACGGTGTGCTTTCATACAATTCACTACTAGAAGTGCTGCAGAACGTGCCGCCGAACGAACTTATGATCGGTTAATTTTAGGTGGCCATCGGTTAACCGTTAATTGGGGAAAATCACCAGCGGCTTTGGCTGCAGCTAATTCTCACTTATCAGCAGAAACGGGTGATATAAGCCTACCTCCTGTACCTGGTTTGCCTCTACCTCCTGCTTTACCTCCAACCAATTTATTGAACAGAGCTATGTCAGTTGGTCTTAGTGGAGGCTTTTTCATGGCACCGCCTCCACCACCCCCGCCGCCACCACCACCTTTTACCAGATCTCTATTAAACTCTACTTCTGATCTAGCATCGGGTGATAAAATGCCTATTGTCTCGACTATACAAATCGCACCACCAGTAGTTGAACCACTACCACCCGGAGGTAAGTTACATATTTCAAGCCATATTAAAAAGTACAAAGGTGAAGGATTAAGCTTATTTACCCATTTGTATAGTATCAAGCTTATTCTGCCTCACTTCTTGTATGTCTCTAAATAACCTAATTTTTCCGTACTGGTGCTTTTACTAGACATTCAGTAGGTTGTGAGTATTTTGCTCAGTTTCCATTCTCCACTGTATACCTATTGCTGATTATCTAGCCATTTAAAGCCTCAATATTTTGAAAAATTAAAATGCCAAGGTAGATTTTAGGTAACTACTTGGTACGCTGATAGTAAGATTTACAAGTAGAGAGTATGCCACTATCATGTAAGTACAAATAATAAGTTTGAAGAGCTTTATCTGGTTAAAGGTGTTTATTGTATCGTCGGTAGTTGCAAAATTTATTGGGCCTCTTTTTCATTTTTGTGTTCAAAAAGAAATCACATTTCATATAAATTAATTGTTAAGACATTTAATTTAATTTGAGATTTTCCCGTCGATTGATTGGACTGCTAGTCACCATCCACAAAGTGAATTGTTAAGACAGTTTGTATGAATGTTTTTTAAGGAAAATATATAAACTTTTTAATGCAAATGTGGATAATAAGCAACTATGCTTAATGTCCCCATTGTCTGAATCGACGAACTCATTGGTCACGGAGATAAATATCACCTCTCTTACTTGAAGTCTAAGTGGATGTCGATCTATGAAATCAAATTATTCCGTCGTTTTACAATAAAGTATTGATTTCTTACAATATGTTAAATGAAAGACTGTAGCAACATCTGTAATTTGTTCGCCGATATATGCTTGACAAAAGGGTTTGTTAGGCTGTTCTTTCTATACCAGTAAAAAGTTTGAGCATTGTGGATTAGATCAAATAAAGTATAATTATATTCCAATAATTTATACACAATAAGTTATGTTGGTAATATTTCGAGCAAAATTACCAATAACAAAACTTATCATTGTGTGTAAATTATTGAAATATAATTATACTTTATTTGTTCTTTCTATGTTCATGGTAAGTGGCGACACAGATCTGTGTAGTTTTTTGGGGCTAATTATACTTAACTTACGTAGATGAATTGGATTTTTAGTAACCACCAAAACGTCATGAATTAAAAGTGATTTATAGCACACTAATACAAACAAGTCAGAATGAAATATCCGAAGAAATTGTGTGGCTCTCACGTCTTCACAGGAAAAGTTACTTTGTTCATCCCCTCTGGTATTTACAACCAGTGGGATGTATTTCGAACCATTCGCAGAGTCAAAACTGCGGTAACATGAGTGAGTAAATGCTAAATTGCCACTGTATTTTGATCGTCATATGATAAAGCCCTCGTCGCTTGACGTTTGACAGGAAGATTTATCGTTTCTAGTAAATTGATTAAACTAAGCTTCCAGCCAATCAGAAAGTTTTCCTTCAACGCTTACTAATTAATATAAGAATAGAACTTGGGCGCTATGTTAGTATATGATTTCATCGTAGAATAAATTCATTTTATAAAAACAGTGATACAGTTCAAATGAACTGTCGTCAAAATTTGACAGAATAGTTCTAAAATATTTTTTTACAAACAGTGATACAGTATTATTTATTATTAACTACAAATTAGGTGTGCGTCGGTGGCACAGCGGTTAGGATGCTCGCCAACCATGCACATGGTCCGGGGTTCGATCCCCGGCCCACGCACTCCTTTACCTCGCTAAGCCAGAAATAATGCTGGTAAAGAGAAAAAGTTGGGCATGAGGCTAGCAACCCCATCCTGTAAAAGTAAACACTGCTATAGAAAATTCAAGCCACTAGCTTGAGGCCTTATGTTCCACTGGGGAACGTGAAGGAAAAAAACAAACAAATTAGGTGCTATTTACTTCCCCTGGTTAAATCTATGGTATCATTCATTAGTGCACTGTTGTTTTCTTTTCTTTTCAGAAATATTTATGCGTGGCCCACCGCCACCACCTTTGCCACGATACGTCGTTCGTCCTACTGCTGGCTTATTGCAGACACCACCGTCATCGGTTTTGCCTGACCCTAGTTCAACAGGCGTATTGCCTCCAGGGCCACCACCACCACCCCCGCCGCCACCCCCGTCATCCAAAACTGTATCCTCAAAGGAATCAAAGTCAAGTAAAGACACACCAGCTGATGAAGCATTGGGTATTCATTATCCAAGTCAAAATCCTCAACGGATGGGTAGTGTACCGCACACTGAACAGCATGACTAATTAATGTTGTACAATTCCAATGCATAAATATGTCTCATTGAATCATATATAAATGGTTTCATAATCTTATATTCCGGTTTCGATACTCATTCTCTATGGTTTGGACGTTTATAAGCTTAATGATAATAATTAAATTTTATCCCACTTACGTTATCATTGACTGCTGGATGCGTGTAAATATCTGTTTTATTCCACTTAGGATTGTCGTGCACATGGGCTTGTGTTATCCCTACACAAACTCATACAGTATCTTTTTGTATATAGCTAATAGTAAATCTATCAATAGAATTCATATCGTATTTAAGAGTTGTGTTTGATAAACGCTGGCTACCTTAGCCTGTTGTGTAGCGTTTGTAAAACTTAGTATATCTAGTCTCTCATAGGCTTACAATACAAAAGGGAATAATACGCTATTTGACTGACTGGTTTCCACATAGAACTTTGCACTAATGTGCAGCAGTTTGAGTCACTACACTCCGTGCAGCACACAAAGCAAGAGAAGAAAGTAAAAGTAAGTGCAAAATAGAGACAGTAAACAGGGATACGAGGCAAAAAGAATAGTAATATCAATATAGTTTTATTGGATATTATAAGCCACAGGGAGTGGATGCTCTACGCCATTCAGAACGATTTTGAACCATATCACCGATTGTCTCCAGTCACTGGTGTTTACAGTCCTGAGAACCCAAACCGGGAAGTCTACATTTTCCTACGTCGCTTAAACTAACTTTTGTGGATTTCATTGACTGATTAAGCCATGTTTTGGCTTGACCGCCACTAGCTCTTCGTCAACCTGACCCTTTGTCAGCTAACATTGTCTGTCGAGGAAGGCGATGGTTAGGCATGCATAACACATGTCCTAACCATCTCAGTCTACGTAACTTCACAGCCTCGTCTATTGATTTTATTTTATTTTTGACTACAGCTTGATTCCACACTGTATTTTTGGTACAAGTATGGAATTTTCAGCATGGATATCGGTAGCCCAAATTTTGCCCGTCGACCATGGATATCAGGTGTGCGTAGGCAGGGGATCGAACCTCGGAACATGTGCATGGTCGGCGAGAGTCCTAACCACCTAGCACTGGACTCCTAACCTCAATATTGTTCACCCTCTTATACCACTTTACACGGGAGATAGAAGGCAGCAACCTACGATCAAAGACGGCTAACCAGGCTTTTCATGTCTTTCACTTCCAATGGCCGGGTCTCACAGCCATAAAGGAGGATGGAGCGAACTGCTGAGCAGTACACACGTCTTTTGGTCGATAGCCAGCCTTATATCACGTCTACGCCAGAGATGGCGTAAATTGGCATATGAGTAACTAACCTTCTGTATCCGTGCTAAGATTTCGTCAGTGATAAACCTGTTGGGGTTGATGCAACTTCCCGAATAAGTGAAGTAGTCAACTGGTTCTATCACTTAACTCCCTATTTCTAAGCTGCGAGTCAATGTAACCCAGTCCTATAGCATCATGTTACATCTGACGGGAGCAAATCGCATGCCAAACATTCGCAGATTGCAGCTTGAGGTGTTCAGAAGACTCTGCTCAGTTTTGTCAGCATCTTCACCTAGAAGGACTATATCATCTGCATATTCTAAGTCAACGAGGTTAATCTCTGAAGTCAATTAAAGTTAAGTCCGTTAGTACATCTATGATGAAATTGAATAGAAATGGGGGATAGTGGGCATCCCTGACGGACACCAGTAGTTGTAACCATTTCAGATGACAACTCGCCGTAAACCCTCACCTGGTTGCGTGAATTCAAGTAGAGTGACTTGATCAGTGCAATTTATTTTCTTGGCATCCCCTTTACAGTCAAACATCGCCATAGTACCTCTCGGTCGACAGAATCGAATTCCACCTTTGGGTCAAGAAATATGACAATTGTTGGACGCCGCTAAATATGCGTATGTCCCATTCCAGAATCTCAAAGGGTGAAGATATGATCAATACACCTCTTCCTGGTCTAAAACCTGCCTGGTTCTCTCGTGTTTGTTCCTCTCGTGGACCGCTTGGTCTATGCATGATTATTGGGCCTAGGACGTTAGATGCCACCATATTGGTCAAGCTAATACCCCTGATTATGACAGGAAGACTTGTCTCCCTTCTTGTACATAAAAATAATCAATGACTTACACCAACCCGACGAAACTTCCTCTGATTTCCAGATTATGCCTAGTACCTTAGTTAACGCAAACAGTAGACTGTCTCCAACGTACTTAAACATCTCTGGAGTCATTTCATCAGGTCCTGTTGCTTTGCCTCGTTTCAGATTAGTGACAGCATTAGTAACCTCAGTTAGGGACGGAGGACCTGTGTCTACATCCCATTCAGGGAGGTGTTGGATGCTCGGTAAGTTGGGAGTGGCTGTACGCCAGTTGAATTGCTCCTCAAAGTGTTCTTTCCAATGTTCTAGTCGTCTATCCTGGGAGCTAATTATAATGTCATTTTTCTCAGAGATTATTTCACATATCGTTTTCCTTCTGCAACCTGTTTCCCTGATAAGTCTAAATAGTTGTTTTGTGTCACCAATCGCCAATGCCTTTTCTATCTCTTTCGCTTTTATTGCCTACAACTGTTCAGGGTCGTTACGAAGACTTTTTGTTAGTTTTCGTTTGAGTAGCTTTCGTTCCTCATCATAATCGGAGGTCGCCGGAATCAGGTGTCTTGCGTCAATCAATTCGGATGTGATGATAAAGATCCAATGCCTCTTACTAACTTTTAGTTTTAGCTTATTAACCGCGTTTACAGCTGTGTTTACAGCTAACTGTATGTTATGCCAGGCTACCTCAGGGGAAGTCCTGCTGTCGACCTCAGAAACTCGTTTCTCTATTTCTTCCTTAAATAAGGACTCAGAGTCTCGATCTAGTTGTGAGTGCGTAATTGCTTCGCTACCAACAATTTTTTATGTCCGTTTAGACGTAGGCATAAACGTGCGCGAACCAGGGATAGGCGGTATTCAACTAACCTTCGCCAACGATACTGTATCGCTATGTGGTCTATCTGAGTCCAGCGTTGATTTGGTGATGGAGGTCGCCAGGTTACACAATGTCTCTCTTTGTGCCTAAAGTTAGTGCTGACTTGGAACAGATAATTATCTGAGCAAAACTGTAGAAGACGATCACCGTTGTCGGTTCGTCGGCAGGGATCTCCATACGTACCACCTACATACTTCTCAGTTTGGCATAACTTCCCTACTTGGGCATTGAAGTCGACTGCTAAAACAACTATATCTGAACGTTTGTTTTTTGCAGCAAATTAGACAGTTTCAGGTAGAAGTTTTCCTTTAGTGTATCCGAACTGCAGTCTGTTGGGGCGTAAGTGGAGACTACGAAAAGACAACGACGGATAACGCCGTCCTTCCTTCTAACGGAACCGTTCAGACTGACCGCACACGTACAACTATCTACTGGGATCCAGTCAAGAAGTGATTTTTCTGCCCTATCATTCAACGCTATCCTTACACCTGCGAGTCCTGGCGAACTAGCTGAGAGGTCTCCTGACCCCCTTCAAGTGAATTTTACAGATTCACCTTGTTGGATGGGCGAGGTTAAGTGAATGACCACACTCGGGTCTTGTATGCGTGTCTCCGAAATACAACACACATCGATGACTAGATGTCAGAGAACTGGCTAGTGATGCCTGTTGTCCGATTTGGAAGAAGGTCCTGGGGTTATATACCCCTATATAAAGTTGGCGACGGGGCTTTAAGAAGCTGTCGGCAGGTATTTCTATTGCTCTCATCGTTGTTTGTGGTCGCAGAGTGAAGTGAAGATGACTCACTAACCTGAAGAATAGTACCAACTGTAGTAGGGGAGTAAGATGATGAAGGTGATGTGGGTAAAGGAGAATTATGCTCAGTAAGGCTTCGTGTGCTCATGGAAGTGTGTGGGTGGTTGTTACTTCCCGGCTGCCCACATCGTGGAAGTTGATTGATTCTTCGGGTACCTGGAACTGAAAGAGAGTTAGTGTTGCGTGACGGCAGAGCCCAGAGGACAACTACTTGTGGCCGGTCACACACGGCCTGTATGAAGTGGTTTCTGGGATTGGTTCCGTATTAGTAAACTTACCGCCAGTTACGGACCACCATAGGGTAAGTCGGGATGTACAATTTTGGGGTCAACCTTTTCTAACCCCCTGATATGTATCCACATATATATATTTATGTGTGTGTGTGCATGTTGGTCTCTCTTTCTGTTTGTCCGGTTAGTCTGTGACCACTTCACTTGTGTGAACTTGTCTCCTTTATTAATGTGTATTCTCCTTATATTATATTATATATAATATGAGTGTTTGTTGACAGTCCGTTGCTTGGTGACATATATCCATATATGTTTGTTGGCATGTCTGCTATATTCGCTATGTATAATTGGATCGACACTCCATTATAATTAGCCATTCATGTTAAGACTGTCTAATGATTCTTCCCACACTTGTTTGAATTATTTATATATATTCGCATTCACAATTTGTGTGAACTACTTTACTTTACAACTACTTTACTTACTTACCACTTTGGTGTGAGACCATTTATTTTCGTCTCCTTGTGTTTGGACAATAGAAGTATCATCGCAAACCTAGTGGTCTTCTGATTTCCGCCTTCTTGCGTCAGGACTATTAGTTTCTCGACCAGTCCATAACAATAATTCAGCGACGAGTACATAACAATTTGGCGACGGGAAACTAGAACATAACAATTTGGCGACGGGGAAAACTACTATTAACCACACAGCAGCAACAACATAACAATTTACTATGGATCCTATTAAATTGGAATTATTGTTTGAACGACAAATGAAATTAATGGAAATGTTCGTCAACCAACAGACTGGTCCAGCTCCACCTTCAAGCAATCCCAATCATACCATGCTACCATCTGTCGACGGAATTGTGAACAGCATTTCACAGTTCAATTATGACCCAGAGGCTAATGTCACTTTTGACACATGGTATCAACGTTATGAGGATTTATTCACTGTTGATCTCGCCTCACAA